CAATTCAGTGCCTCAGAAAAGCCATCACAATCCTAAAATATAAAGTTAATATGTAGCTTGAATTTTAGTGTAACTTTTATTGTGACCTTCTTTTGTGGAAACTGATGTTCTCTGTGTTTGTGAAGGTTTACCATGCACAGGCGTACCTCAGATATGCTGCAGGTTTGGTTCTAGACCACAATAAAATGAGTAATGCAATAAAGCAAGCTGCAATCTTTTTGCTGGTGGAGGGTTTGTCCTTCAATTAGTAAAAAGGCAACATCAATGAAGCACAATAAGCAAAGCACAATAAAATGAGGTATGCTTGTATATATTTGAAGAAGCCCACTAAATTGATTGGAGTGATTTATTCATTTTTTTGGTTATCCTATTTTGTACACAGTGGTAAGAGAAATGAAGTGTCGGGTTTTTATAATACTTCAGCTTGGCAACAAAATTTAAACAATCTCTTAATAACGTTTCCTTGCCTTTTCACTGAAGCATTTTATCTTGGTGGTGCTGGAAGCAGGACCCTGGGTGCGCGATAAGATTCTGTAGACAATGGGAAGCAAAGGAGCGTTCACCCTGCTCGGGGTCTTGATCATCCTTTCTGTCCTCTATGATTCAGGTCATAGCCTGCAGTGCTACACCTGTGTCGACCCAGTTGGTTCGTGCACTGTCATCAACAACTGCACAGTTGATTTTGATGCATGTCTCTACATCAAAGCCGAAAAACGAACACATTACCAGTGTTGGATGTTTGAAAACTGCAACTACAACTACCTCTCAAAACTCTTAGGAGAGAAGACTATACAGTATGAATGCTGCCAGAAGGACCTGTGTAACAAAAGCGGTGGGACGGGCATAGCAGGGACCATCGCTCTGCTGGTGACTCCGCTGCTCACAGCATTCTGGAGACTTCTTATCTAAATCAATACCAGGAGAGATTCTCCTAACTCCCTGCTCCTGTGTAGTCCTTATTTGCTTTGCCACAAAAGCTTTCTATTTTCTACTGAATCCTGTTGGGAAAGAACAAAACTAGCTTGGATGAGAGAGAGAGAACCGGAAAACCAGTCCTACTTGCAGAGAAGGCCCCTCTGAGGGAAGAAGTTTAGGAGTGAAGCACGTGCCATGTTAGCTAGGTTAGTTTCATTAGTTCCATGCTGCTTCCTCTGCTGGCTGCAGTAATAGCTTGACTAGATTCTCTGGAATTGTCAGTTATTTCCTTGCTTATTCCTTGGATGTAGTTACCAGTATGATCAGTGCTTTTGGGCAGGGGCTGGGGGGCGGGGTGGGAGTTGGAGCAGAGGGGTTCTTTTCTCCAATCTCTCTCACAGGGGATGCTTTCATCCCCTCCTTTTATGGCCTTGTGTTGCCATGTAGGCATGATGAATGTTCCAGATGTGGGCTGTTGGGGGCAACGAGATTCTAAATGCAGAGTGATTGGAATGAGTGTTATATTCTCAACTCGAAGGTGTCTGGCAGAGTAGGAGGTAAGCTTTCCAGGTGGCAGGGCATAGCGGCACCAGGTCTGCCTTTAGAGAGGTACCAGTGGCTGAATCTGAATTTTCTTCTTTTTCTAAGTTTTGTATGGGCTTTGCTGTCTTTCCCTAAAAACAACTTAAATACTTCAATTAATGGTGTGTTAAAACGATTCCCCTCCCCTTTTCTTTGGAATGATGACATATTTTCACTTTGTCACTCAGTTCAAGACTAAATATTTGAACATTCTTTGCTTCAAGTGATTTACAGTATCGTGTGCTTATTTTGAGTATTATCAGTGGGAATACCTTTATGTGTATGTGTATTGTAAGAATGCAGTGGGAAGATGCCATCATAGCAACAGGTCCACGGGGATGTTCTATCTGCTGACATCAAGCCTGTTGAATCCTAGCTGACCTGGCACAGATCATGTAATGTTCATTTGTAAAGGCTGTTCGCATCCTCACAAATGTCAAGACTTTGAGAAGCTCTATCGGTTTCCTAAAGAGAGAGACCCCTTTTCAGGAGGGCAAAGTTTTGCCTTTGTGTGTGTGTGTGTGTGTGTGTGTGTGTGTGTGCTGGTGAATAATTTTCAAGATCTGGTAGACTTAATAACATTTATATTCCTGTAACCTTGTCTGCATGGTCTGACTTGCTGATTAAAGTGAGATTTCTTCATTAACATTTTTTTTTAAAAATGCCATGATTATGTAATCTGTTTGATAAAGTGGAATAAATGATGCCTTTTTGAAAATAAAATATAATAAAAAATAACGAAGTTTATCTTCCTGGGAGCCACTCTACCTGACCACGAATTGGGAGAGAGTAATGGGCACAGTTATAGAGTCAGTGATAGAGTGAGTGGAATGACAGCATAGATGCCCTTGGTTTATTTTTCTTAATCCTGAGGTGGAATACTATCTCATATTGTTCTTAGTCCTTTTTAGGCTTTCTTTCTTTCTTTCTTTCTTTCTTTCTTTCTTTCTTTCTTTCTTTCTTTCTTTCTTTCTTTCTTTCTTTCTTTCTTTCTTTCTTT